CAAACAACTTTAAGGTGCATACCGCCACCTCCGGAGTCGGCTTGACTCGGTTTGCATTTATAAAGAATGCACACATGTGTTTAATTGTTAATGTCAGATATGTAATAAGTAAATACATTTGTTCCTGCTCAAGATTAGATTCAACTCTATTGTTATTGCACAGATTACAGGTACTGAGACAACAAAATGCAGTTTAGCTTCTAACCAGGAGTGCAACAAGCAGTAAAGTGAAAAGTAATGTACACAATCTACAGAATAAAATATAGAATTAATTGAATGATGAATAAACAGTGAGGGGTATGAATACACTAGATATACACAGCAGCCTGTGAGCAGTATGAACAGTGTGTATGAATATGCTAAGATATATAAAGTATAAAAACGGTAAGCAGTGCAAGTATAGTATAAAATATATAGATATTAATTTCATGATGATAAACATTGTGGAACAATGATGAAAAATGTGAATGGAAGTAGCGAGGTAAAACTGACACAAAACAACAAACTGTTGCCGAGCCAATTGGAGAGTTTCATCAGCAGCACGTGGTAAAAACCACCAATGAGCGCTCAGCTCAAGATACCAGCGAGTCATTTCCCATCAAGCATTTCGCTTCCGCAGCCCGTGGAGAGGAACTGCGCCGCCGCGCCTCGCTCTCAAGGCTGCGGGCGTCTTTGTCCCGTGAGATTTCAACGTCTCATGTGAGCGAGCCTCCAGAGCAAGTCGGACAAAATGACTAACCATCATGCAACGCACGAGCAAGACGTTGATCGAAATTGCGCAGGTCTGCGCAGGTCTCGCTTGTCTCAAACAAGCCTGTTGACTGCAGGGGCTGGGGATTGAACCCCCAACTAGGGCTGCTCGATTATGGCAAAAATCATAATCACGATTATTTTTGGTCAATATTTATATCACGATTATTAAATACGATTATTCATTGACTTTGAAAACATCCGTTTATTGAACTTTTAAAAAATAAATAATAATAATTTGAACAGTATGTTTTTAACAGTTGATTACCCTGAACTTTAACTATAATTCAACTGAAAAACCAATAAAAACAACAAATATTTTGGAGCGCACTTCCACAACCTACTAAACATAATATAAATATGATAACTAATGTCACTCACAACCTGTCATGCTTAATCTGCTACACACAGTACTCTTATTTTGGTAACCCCTTATCTGGAAACCGGAAGTAGCGAGCTAGGAGGCTATTCTTGCATGGAGGACCGGAGAATAGAGACACGGCAACTAAAGCTTCCCTTGTAACGTATTTATATGGATTTATTAAACAGACTGCAAGTCAGCACAACCTGGCCGAGAGGGCTTTTAGGGAGGGGTGACAGCGCACGCGCGGGCAGGATGTATAACGCAAGACAAATTGAGAGCATCATTGCGAAAGGGAATGCAGCAAAATAATCGTTTTATTTCGATGACGTGTTTTCGTAATCGTTGCAAGCCAAAATCGTAATTGAGATTAAAATACGATTAATTGCACAGCCCTACCCCCAACCTTCCTATTGGTGAACAATCACTTTTCTTACAGCCATGGAAAAGACAAAATCCAGTCAAAAGGTTGGGACTTTACAGGCACAGACACCAGTGCACACTTTAGGGTGGGTCCTAACTGAGGATTGAGATGAAGTGTTTTGTAAGTCTATACATTGTTTTTAACATCAAACAGCATATGTTTTTCTTCCTCTTCATACCATACCAATTCATCACCCACTGAAATAAAACATCCTGTTGCCCACTGAACATGTCAACCTCTGCTCAGAAAGCTGGTTCCTTTGCCAATCTTGGTGTCCCCCTCTGCTCCTAACTTTTGCCTTGGTATCTACAAATCCCCACTAAGCCCATTGCAGAACTTCCTTCCCTACAGGGTCCTGTGAAGCCTAGCAAAGCGTGAGAGAGGAGTAGCGGCCAGACAGGGGTCTGAGTGGGGAGATCCTTGTTCAAATATGTTATCTCCTCCAGGGAGGCCCGCTGCATAAGAGGAATCTCCCTTTACAGCAAGATGGACACTAAATCAGGGTCCAACTAGCTTGAGTTGTTGTAAATAACAAGGGGGTGGTTCAACCAGCAGAGGGAGCCCCTTGTTAATATTGTGTAAGACAAGCTGGGTTGTGTTTGTGTTGGGAAAAGTCGATTTAAGTAGGTCACACTCACTATTTCCCCCCCTCATAAGGCCCTCTGGAAAGATGTAAACTAAACGGTGGTCCAGCCCCTCAATGTTTAATGATAACAGTTCACTCACTCGGCTACTCTCTGTATTTCTTTCGCCCCTCGTGCCATCCAGAGGAGAAATATTTGACGATACAGCCACACGCCAGTCAAGGGAAGGATGAAGTCAGCTTTGAGAAAGGGGTCACCGTGGAAGTCATCCAGAAGAACTTGGAGGGCTGGTGGTACATCAGGTGAGTAAATGCTAAATAGTCAAAGCATGGGCGTATTAAGGGGACTGGATAGGACAGTTGCTCAGTGACACCAAAATGGATGGACTGCTGAGATTAAAATACCTGGATCTTCTGCATCCATGGGGCCCATAGAGCAAGTGAATTAGCCCTCTTATCTGTGGATTCAAATGAACAAAGAACTAAACATTTTACAAAAGGATTCAGGGAGCAGATCTATTATTCTGGGGGCTTAAGTAAAAGGGGCTCAGCTCATCAACGCATAGCAGCTAAAGGAGACTAATGGAATCCGTCAAAAGTGTTTTTATGTTTTTAAAGGTGCCCTAATATTCTTTGTGGGGTTTCCCTTTCCTGTGGTGTTTGTAAGTTCCCCCCAGAGGGAGTTTCTCTCCCTCACACTCCCCCCTGACTGAAACCCCTCCATTTGACTCCTTGGTTTACTTAATAGGAAAATAGTGACTTCAATTTGTAACATCGCGCTTCTATTTGCTAGCGCTCCAACACATTGTACTTGATAGGCTAAGGTGCAGGACTTGTCCGACACATCTCTAAGCGGTTGACCAATCACAACAGACTCACCCCCCACATAATAAAGCACTTTTTGAATAATTAAGCATGTAAACATGTTACAGTAGAGACACAAGTAATCCAATCATGAAAGCTGAAGATGAGCATTATTGACTTTTTAAATCCAATTTCTAAGTAAACATGTCATTTGAGAATAGTGGCGTGGTTGAGTGATAAGTCCTCTTTGCTTAGTGCTGTGAGGAACGCTGCTGTTTCCTGCAGCTTGTATTTGCATAAAGACATTGAGATCCACACATGGCGCTCTCCACAGGTCAATTGCATGTCCCTTGTTGGGTTACTAATGTGTATGTGTGTGTGTCTCTGCCAGTTTGTGTTTCCTGCCAGTTGTTTGTTTCCTCATACCCCCGGGGGCTAAAGAGAGTGGAGCTCCACTGCACAGCTGATTACTATCACATGCACATCGTGGCATGTGACATACACATGCGGTGTGCATACACACACAAACATACACACAGACAGAGCCAATGTTAAAGATGCTAATGTGTGCTAGCATGATGTTTGTGGCTAATATGTGAAACAGCATTTTGTGTTTGAATGGAGGGTCGAAGAATACAGGGTGCTGTACAGATTTAAAACACTTTGAATACATTTTATATGTAGCTTTATACATAAAATGTACTTTGGCCCTCATTGCAATGCACAATAAGTTGTTTCAGATCATGTTGTGCAACAGGAAATAATACTATTTGGATGTTTTTGCTTAGAGAGGTTTAAGCATGGGGCTTTCTCTGCTATGGTGACTCCTTGTGGTCACAGTAAGAGTTGTACAACAGGGGAGCTGGAATGATCACATCTCTTCTAAACAGAGAATGACCAACATAAAGGCAAATGAGTCATAGTTGCATTTTGAAACATTACTTATTGTTTCACAAAGCACTCTAAAATGACTCATTTAGCTTTGCAATGATTGTTGCAATGTGGGGAAGATGATACTCTTCTGCATATATTATTGAGGCTGTTTACTTGCCCCTTGGCTACATCTGCGTCACTAGAATTAGAACAGTTTTCTTTTTTCAATACGCAGGTTCTCATTCATAACACTCCGTTCGATGTCTCACTATGGGATGCGCCTCATCGCGGAGCAAACAGAAGCATCAATCTCATTACGCCAATCCTGATTGGCTGGTGATCTTGACGTCAGCGTCAGGGAATCCACCCCCTATAAGTAGCTTGCGCTACGCCGCATGCGTCATTCAAACACCTCTTCTCGCTTCAGAGCACATCTCTATATTGGTAGCCGGGCTAGCTCACACAGTCCACAGACGGAACCAAGCTATCCAAGCTAACTTCGGTCGACGGGCGCTCGCCGGCTACTTCTATATATACTTCTGCAAGAAGACTGTTAATACTAACACACCAGTTAGTATTGCAAATCGACCTCGCCGTTTTTTCTTCGGAATAAAGGTAAGGTTTTGATTTTTTCAAGCTAGCAACACACGTGTTGCTAGTTTGTCTTCCCTCACTACCGACACCACGGTAGCGAGGAAGTTTTTTATTTTTTCTCTCTCACACCAGAGGAGTAGAAGATAAAAAAGGTATTAACACACCAGTTAATATTCTTTGAGAATAAAATCTACACCGTCGCTTTTTCTCCGGATTAACGACAGGTTGTGATTCTCTTTTCTCAGCAACGCACCTGCTACGAGCGCGTCCTTCCCACGTCGCCATAATGGCG